AACAATACAATAACTTTTGCTCAACAGTTATTGTTTTGGGTTTTTAATGTTATTAGTGAACTTGGATATACTATAACAGATATATTTAGGCTAAAACAGATTTGTCATGCATAGTACTAAATTAAAAAAATACAACACACAAGATGTATTACACCTGTATCTCCCAGAAGTGGGAGCTGATTACATAATCTCCCTCTTAATACCAGAGGCACAAATAAAGTAGGAAAAAAAAAAACAAGTCAGTTGTAACTTTATAACACACAGTAATAGTCAGTAACAAACCAGCAGCAAACTACAGAGGCTTCATTTCCAGCTTCAGCAGGCTCAAGGAGCGGACACACTTTGGACGACACCAGTATTCTCCAAAAAGAACAAAAGCCTGAAGAGCACAGTATGAATTTGAAAGAGACTACATCTCTCTCCTGCTGTTTTCTGCCATTACTGCTTGAGTAAGGGTTAACTTTAATTTATTAGTTCCTGGCAATCCTGAGGAAGAAGTGTTGCTCTCTAAGCCATTTATTCTTTGTCTGTATAAATTAATGAAAATCAGTCACTGTCGTTTTATGAGCATAGACACTACTCAGACTTTGATCAGGTTGTCTCTCTAAACTGACCATATCCTGACCTCAGGCTCTGTCTATTCTCTGCCAATGACTCCCTCTCTACAGCTTGTATTCTTGAGGCACTGTGCCCAGAACTTAACTTTGTGGGCACTCCTAACAGTTTGGAAGAACATAAACTGTCTGGGGCTGGATAACAAGAATGTTTTCTAGGAGATCACTGCTTGCATCAATCGTTCGTTAAGTCTGAGGGGGTTTTGCAATACAGTATACAACAGTTCAAGCTTACAGTAAAAGAAAGAAAAAAAATCAAGCTTTCTCACTAGCTGCCTACTGAAAATAGTTCCAACACAACTCATCAGCACGCTTCCAGCAGAAGCTGGTGTGAATGAATAAATACAAACCGAACAAAAGTATTGTGAACACACTATTTAGCAATCCTACAGTATTTATGGCAACTTCTTAAGTGTTTGGTAAACATTTATGCTTCAGAAACTGTGAAATGGAAAGGACTAAGGGTGGGAAAGAGCTTAGAAGTTTTCAAGAAGAAACAAAGCCACAATGGGTTTGGAGACATAATGAGTGTACTTTAACATTTACTCTTAAGACCTCTGTCACAAAAATCCTTATGTGAAGATAACTGATAACAAAACATTTGCAGAAACACTAGACTTACTTCAATTACCAATGACAAATATAACTGTTTTAAAAAGTGAGAAGGGAAATGACAGGATCATAATGGCTCTCATAATGGTTTCTGGGAAAGAAAAGACTGTCCAGAAAAGTGGAGAAATGGCAAGCAGGTGCATTCATTGGTAGAAAGGCAACAAATTGGTGGAAAGTAATTTAATATGGAAGAAGGTGAGTTGGAGCCACAGACCAACTTGGAGAACCAGATGGTTCTGAATACACTGCAAGGACATTGTTCTTCAAAACATCCATTCACCTTAACTTCAGAGGTGAATCCCCTGTCTGCCTAGTACAGCTGAAAGCTTCTAATCAATGACATATATAGGCAATGGCCAAATATCAGCTACAAGCATTACCTCATTCAAAATGAAAAAACAAGAGGTAAAAACAAGCAATCAAGGCAGTCTAACAAGTAATTCCTAAAATAAGCGTTCAAAATTATGACAGGACTCTTGGTATTCCCAAAATTGACATGCTTTGCTGAAGTTTCCTCTGGGATTTCAGTACAGGTGAATCAGTGGAGATTGAGAACAGTTTCAAAATCTAAGGGCATCCATAAAGTGGACGCATTGCATTCCTCCTTCACGTTAGAATTCTACATTTAAAGAGAAAATTCCTTTCTAGAAAGTAATATAAGAGGACTTTACCATAGTGAAAATTAAATGAGGGAAAATCAACCAGTTACAGTCCTATTTTTCTGATGTAACTACTCAAGATACCTCATTTAATGAAGAGTTCTGTTCCAAGGATCATATTAGAGAAACTCAGACATTTTTCTCTACCTTCCATCATCTTTCTAGGAAGCTGATGGGGTGACTGACAAACAAGTGGATAACTCAACTTTTTGGTGACACTCTGCAGTGACTACTCTGTATATTTGCAACAAGCTACCCCAAGCCTTATTGTTAAATTTACAGTAAGCATAATCATAATATTAAAAATACCCAAGAAGAAAATAAAAAGTTGCAAAAAGAAAGCAAGCCATAACTAGTGTGTGTGCGGGTAGTTTGTCTGTTTAAGAAGAGTACTCCCCATCCAACAGCACTTACATCAGTCTCGGGGGGATTCTCTTTGAACTAATTAATGAAGAATTGGAAGCTCACAAGAACAAACTGAAAACAATTGAAAAAGCTAGAAATCCTTTCTATTACATAACTTGTCTGGCTGATCCCAAATCAAAACACAGGCTAAGCTCCAAACTGGAGGGAAAGGCTAACAGAATATAGTTCCTGTTGTTTTCCCTTAGCATTTAACACCAAAGAACTCAGTGTCTAACCTCATTTTTTGTTTACATAGGCAGCTACATCACAGGCCACGGGAAAAGGGTAAACTATGGAAATAAAAACACACAGCTCAATTCAGAATGATCATGTTTTAGAAGACTCACTACAACTGACAACCTCAGGATCCAGCAAGTTCTCAATACAAACTGTTTTTTCTGACTACAAAAACATTGTCAAAAAGAGGTGTTAAAAATAATTAAATTGGTACAGGAGTTCCGAAATCCAAGGAGATCCCCGATGATGACAGATTCCTCATCAGACCAGACTCACTGGCAACACACTGCATACAGTAAAGTACCTGCAAGTGTTCCATGTTGGTAATATCATATGTGACTTCGTAGAGCAGATAAATAATTATTTAGGCAGCAAATCTATGTTCCCATACTTCTCAAAATAACTCTGACCCAGAGCCTGGGGACTGCCAGCAAAGGCCTTAAAGCAGGCAACAGTATCCTTCCAGGACATCTCTCTTGTTAAAGTAAAACTTTCATAGAAAGGAATTAAGTCTCTCTACAGATAAAACCTAAAAAATATGAACCAAGTACAAGCAATACAACCCTCGCCTATGCAGGTTCACAGAATCCGGAACAGCAACATCTCAATATGGTGTAAATAATTACAGTTATCACAACAATAATGTTAGCTATTGTGTTTCTCATGTCAGGAAAGAGACTGAGGACTGCAAATATGCACAACCTACTGAAGTGATTGTTCATTTTAATGCAACAAGTTGATGACAACAGAGAGAGCAATTGCTGCTTGCTTTTAATTCGGTCAAGAGAGATGAAGGAACTAGGCCAAGACCCAGAAAAACACACATACACTGAACCATTGGAGAACAGTTGGCTAAAAGCATCTCAAAGTTGAACAAAAATTATCACCTTTTTAAACATCAGTTTGACCCATAGATCTGTACAAACCAGTTGCATACACCTCTGCCAAACTAGAAATGTCTTTATTTCCACAGCAGTATGTTTTCAAAACTTCAGCTCCTTTCCAGCAATTAACATATGCAACAAGACTTAAAGTAAAGCATGAAGTTTATACGCTTCGTCCTGTGCCCAATGCTTATTTCTGCATGGCAGGATTCATAGCTTTAAAAAACATGCCAACACTATTCCCCTTCTTTACACCAGTAGAATGTTCCTTACTAAAACCACTGTGTCCCAGCAGCAGGATCCAAGAGAGCTATGAAAGTTGGGCATGTATTCAGCATTTCTCTCTCTCTCTCTTGTTTTGGATTTTTTTTATTTTAAGTGCCCATCCTACCCTCAACTCTAATCCTGACTAGTCAGGAGACACAGGCAGTTACACACCTGGGGCTAGGGACGGTTCTCAAATTTATTAAAAATTTAAAACTCAAGCGGCTCTCGAAAGCCTACAGTTAATGCAAAGTGTACTTTCTGGTCCTAATCCAGTGACGAGTGACCATTTGTCCATAGCATAATATGGGCAGATTTCAGCACAATTCAGTATAAACTGCATTCTCTGTTCAGGTAAGGGCAACATTCAGAAGAGAATGAAGTTCTGCAGTTCCAGATAGGGAGATATTAATGAGGCATTTGATGGTCACAAAGGTCAGCAATAACAGGAAAAGTACTGACACTGGACTGAAAGAAAAGAAAGGAGATAAAATGAAGAGTAGAAAGGGCTTGCGTAATTTCTGTTAACTGTATGTCTGGTTCTGCTTGTGTAAACACCACCTGAATTCTAGGGTCAAGATGCATCAGGATAACAAACAAATTAAGTTTTACTTGGAAAAAAAAAATCAAACAAAGAGTTAGTAGCTATATGATAATTTTAAATAATTTTTAATTGCTGATGTTATCTATTTTCCTGTCTGCTATTAAAAATAAATTACTATCAAAAGAAAGGAATTATAACAACTCTTGAAGTAGACACACTGTAGTTTGCTGACTTCTTTGTGACAGTCTTAAGGCCCTCTTGCTCTACTACTGCAAAACAAAGTTTGCTAATTTACTAGAAAAAAGGGAAATGTAAAGAAACAGACAAGGAAAATAGACTGCTCTATACAATGATGGCTTAGTGCTTCTACAGGAGTAGTTTTATATCAGTTACAAAAACCTCTACGAAACCTTAGTGTATTTCAGTCAAAGCAAGTGGGAACCTATGTATAGTTATCCCCGGCCAAATCTGTAGTTTGTTCATAGAAAACTCTTTTCAGATTTCCAAGAGCAAGCCCACAAAATCTACTCAGAAAAGCAGCACTACAATACTACAGAGTGCATGCAGGTGAAAACTCACCCAACAGACAGCTTTGTCTTAAGATCCTCAGTATATTTTCAGTTTCAATCTTTGGTCAAAAATTATCCTGACAATGATCCTACACGTGACTTCTCTTTGCAGCTTTGACATTTCTTCTGCAGATCTCCTCACCCACCAACCCCCCTTAACCCACAGCTTCCACAAGTCCAAAGAGCATCCCAACAAAACCAGGTGACCTCACCTTTCATTTTGACAGTGGGAGAATTGGGTCCAGCTGATTGCTTCCTCCATCCTCTCCAGTTCTGGCAAAGGCTCTCTGCCTCAGAGATGAAGGAACAAAGAGAGTCTTCTTCAAAGCGATCGGAGTCTTCAAATGAAAACCTCTCCCCGTCCTCCCACTCTGCGAACATGAGTTCCATCACATCCGACAGGTGACGTGGGGGGAAAAGAATAAAGACAGAAACAGCACTGCTCACTTTTAACACGTGGATGGACTTGAGGGCTCCTGCAGTACTTAAAATCTCAATTTTGATTCGATCCCCATACTACAGTACCAGGAAAAACAGAGCCAGTGCTATCTGAGGTGGGAGAAGCAGGAAATCAAATGAGGGGAAGCTCGTAAAAATCCTAGGAAAAAACAAACAAACAAACAAACAAAAAACCCCAAAACCAAAACCCGAGTTCTTTAAAAAGTTAAAAAAATGCTTATGTCCACAAAATGTACTTGAGGCGGAGGGAGACTGGCTGGTCTAGGAGAGCTGCCTCCAGGCGGGACAGGTGCCTGCCGGCCACACGGAGGGTCTGAAGGCTTCCGATGCCCACGGCCCCGGCACTGGAGGACGAGGGAAGGGGCCGGTTTCCTCCTCCGGGGCTCCCGCCGGGGGAAAGCAAGTATCTGTGCGCAGGGCCAAGTCTCCCTGAGGTTGTGCTTTTCTCACTCTCGGTGCAGGAACCGGAGGGAGGGCGAGGGCGGGAAGGGGCAGC